AAAAAAAAAAAAAAAAAAAAAAAACAGGGTATGGCTTATATGTATGCATGGGCGAGCGCATGCACCTAGCCGCTTTTCCGTCTAAGTGCATTTGTTGACCTCTTCAATAACGGACACAAGTCATTGTCAATAAAATAAATAGATGAAAAATTAATTTAATTATTCGAGCACGTTTCTTGCATGGTCTGCCTCTCTGCCTACTTATCTACCTTCATGTTACCAAATATTTGACCCAAGAAAAATCTACGAAAATCTATTATAACTTTAATCACATTTTTATATAATATAACAAAAGCTTTTCTATTTGAAATATACATTAAGCTCAATAATATTATAGTAAATAAAAACTTATTATAGCATCAGGTTCTTGTAGATTAACACAGGAATTACATTCTTTTTCTCCCTTGTTGATTTTAATAAAAATAAACCCTACAAAAATGTCATTAAAAGGAAAAGTAATGGTATATTTTATTAAGAGAAAATCTATAAAAAAACACCTCATTTTTTCAAATTTTCTAAAAAAAATCTGAATTCTATTTTTTTAAAATAAAAACCAAACTCATTTTTTTTACTTAAAAAATCCAAATTTTATAAATATTATCATTTTAAATTTTCTAACGTGATATTCTGATAATTTATTACTTTGATCAAATAATAGACATTGTTATCTAATATCATCATTAAAATAATAACGTGGATAATGATAGTACGATTCCATCAAATCACAAATTGACATATATGACACGGTATGTTATGTGAGCGTTTTGAGTTTAAAAAAGATAATATTTACAGAATTTGGTTTTTATTTATAAAAAATTGTTCAAGTTTTTTTTTCCCAAAAATAGAAAGTTGAGGTATTAATTTTTTGAGATTTTTCTTTTATTAATAATGAAAACTATATGATATAAACGAAATGATACTTTGAATAAAGTTGGGGAAAGGAAGGAGAAGCAGTGGGGAGAAGCGTTTCGAGGTTCATCGTCGGCGATAGAAAAACTTCGACGGAGATGGCAGCGGAGAAGGAGCTTGAGACGGCTGTGCGAGTGGTGCACCTCGCTTCTTCTCTCTGCCGAATGGTTCAGCA